TCAAACAAAAAAAACCCCAAAAAACTTTTGTGTTTAAACACCAGAATGTGAATTGCAAAACATATGACAGGACCTCCACCCAAGCAAAGAATTGTGCACGGACTTACACACTGGTAGTAAATAAATTAAAAAGAATACCCTCTCAAGAGGTGCTCGGGACAGCACATATTAAGCTCTTTCCTCCTCCTCTGCACAAAAGCCATCCTCCATCTTCATGACAGCCTCCATGAGCAAAATGGACTCTTCCCATCCTCAGATCGTTACCTTCACCTCTAATGGTCTTCCGTACTAGAAAGTATTTGCATTTCTCCACTCTAGACTTCTATGATGGTTTGGAGTGTGAACTGATCTTTCATCGCTTTGATGCTAACAGCTGCAATGTAGCATTTTGCTGTGGCAAAACCTGTGCTTTTAGTAGTGTCCTATTTTCTCTCTTGTAAATGGCTTTGCTTTCAAATTGCTACTCAGGTGTGTGGCCACCACCATCCCCGGCACGCTTTGCCACTACAAGTATCAGTAAAGCACTGCTCGTATAGACACTGACTGTGGGTTTACCTGCAATAATTGCATCAGAATAATTTTACTCAAGAGTGCGAACACAACACTTGTTGCTAGTTTAAACAATAATCTGCCTGAAAAATAGTGCCTTTTAGGGTAACTATGTTGCATTCTGGGTTGATAAGCCATCATGCATTCTTCTTTTATGAAAATTTAAAATAGATATTGAAACACTCTAGCACTCTGAGATTGGCCAAACTATCAAAACTTCCTCATTTCTTTTTTTAGTGTCCGTTATTTTACCTAATTATTTGTAATTCAGTACCATTTTCAAAATGAACTTCCAAGCTCATAGATAGAGCATTGCTGAGCATTGCTGTGTTACCAATACAGATTGGCTGCTCCAGATAACTGGCAAATGGACAGCGATGTGGCTACAGAGAATTTGAGAGAATGCCACCAGAATCACCACTGGGATGCCACGTGAATACTACTGGAAGAGCAGAAAGCAGCTACTTCTCTTCAACGTATCTTGTAGCATTCTCAGTAGCCTTAAGACCCTTGTCCTGCTCCTGTTTGCTCAGATCTCGGAAGGGTATTCTCCACCTCAGGGCAGGAAACTTAATATTTACTTCTGTAATATTCTTCCTAGAGTTATTCTGTAATATTTTTTCCTATTCTCAAGTGAACCGATAAAAGAGGACGTACCACTGTCACAATTTGGCAACTGTAACTGTGATTTTGAAACATAGCAATTTATTATATTCTGGAGTCTTAAAATAGGTCAACAGCAGAACCAAAACCAGAACACCAGCCTGGGGTTGGTGCTCCGTGCCATGCTGCATTCAAAGGACAATTTTCTTTTTGCCCGTTTGGGCCGGTGACCATCCCCTGTCCCCCGACTGTTTAGCCAAGGTGGGCCCTGCACGGGGAGCACGAGGAAGCAGCGGGCGCAGGCAGCAGCCCGGGCAGACAGGGCAAACGGTGAACTTTTCATCTTCTGACCAAGGAAGAGGTCGCAGGGCAGTGAAGTTTTATTAAAGATACATTTTATTTTTACTCCTCTTTTCCAACTTTTATTTACCTTTAAAGGACAGAAGGCAAAGGCTTTACACTTTCGCTTTCACTTTTTTTCATGTGTGAAACTTACTCTCCTTGAACCTGCTCTGCCCCTAACTTACAGCGCAGGTCCATGTGGCTGCAGCTGGGCTGCCTCCGGCACCTTGGTGGGCTCCTTCCCAGCCGCCTGGGCTGGCCCAGCACCGTGCCACCACTGGCACTGACCGGCCGGGGAATAAAGCCTGCGTCTCCCAAGCACCTCTCCATTCCAGCTGAGTTTACTCTAAAGGAAGATGCATCACAGTTTTTTGTCTTTTTCAAAGGGGTCATAAATGATGTTGTAAGATCCCAAACAGCAAAGGCATCTCTGAAGCTTAACAGATAAAAAACTCAATACACCAATCCATTTTGAAGATAAAAATGTTAATAATGGTTCCATAGCTTAGGCAATGAATATGAACTTTCTCCTGAAAACCACTGACATTTCCTGAATCAGAATTGCTTGGACTTTTCTCCCCATCTCTCTCTGTTTTCTCTTGCTTCATTTAAGGTTCTGGAAATGGAAGTTACTGGTCTTTCACATGCAGCTGTCACTTATGTGAATAATCGTGGATTTATTAAAATTCTTTGCTCTATTACTAAAGACAGCAAAATACTGTTTCCATCCCATTTTCAACAAATGTCTCACTGGGTTTATTACTATAGACAGGTTAAGATGTTCCTGGATTAAAAAAATGTGAAAACTCCTGAAATAGTTTCAAAAAGGAGTGTTTCATTACCTAGAACAGAGCAGAGCCAGTTTTACCTGCAAGAAATCCTGAACTACCTCATTGATTCTGTTATGATAATAATTACAAGGCAACATTATTGATGCAGTATGAAAGGTTATTTTTTTCAAAACAGCCTTCTCATTTTTACCTCAGCGATATACTACTGAGCTAAGAGCTTTGTCCACTTAAAAGTGCAATATTTGGTATACTGTACAGCAAAATACAGACGAAGTAAAACAATTGATATATGGGATAATTCTTTTGTATGTATTAGTGTTGAGATAATAAGATTGAGAATTATTCAAAACTTAGATATGTGAATATAAAATAACTTACATGATGTTTGTGTAAAAACCCCAAAATTAACAGCTGAAATCCCCTTTTAGGGATCGTTAAAGAACAGAACTTTGCTCAAAGAAGAGTCTCTAAACTTTGTTTTAAACTGCAAAACATTGTAAACATGCATATGTAATACAACTTTCAAGCCTTCATACTTACATTACTGGAATTATACACATCTGTACTGTTGGTGCCGCATCTTTGTAAAGTTCAACAGCAACATATACATCAACCTTTGCACTAGCTTACTGCTAATCAAGAAAACTGTTATAGATTTACTTACTTTAAAAGCATTCTTATTGAAAGAGAGCATTAAACTGTGTATTCAATACATACAAGAGAAAAAAAAAAAAGCACAAAGCCACAAGGTTTATTTTGAAAACTCAGTTGTTCTACTACCGTGGATAAATCAATAAACTCCTGTAGCAACCCCCTTGCCCGCACGCAGTCAACCCTTCCTTTCACTTACGTGCTCCTTCCATACAACTGAAACGGAGTATCGACACCGAAGCGGGAACCGTGTCCGAATAACAGCTCATAGAAATAATTTAAAAGCATTTTCTAAATTACCAGAATAATGACAGTAAGTCAGACTTGTTGACGCATTTTATTGTGAGATGGGGAGTCTGGTAAAAAACTAGAAAATGACCATGATGTAACAAGGAACTTAAAAATGAAGTTTCAGATTTGTAACATACATACATGAATACAGGAACAAATTGGCACAAAAATGTTAAACATTGTTCCCAACACTGTTTATAAGATTATTCTAATTTGGGTTACTAAGGAAATGAGAGTTTTATGGTTAGACTAATCTCTTAATAAAACTGCAGAGCATCATGCTATTAGTCACACAGTGAATTTCAAAATTTAAGAGCTTTATATTAAAAACTGGGTAAAGGTAAAATGAATTGATTGCAATTGTAAAATTAATACATTCCCATTTTAATTCTTCTGTTCTACAGTCCAAGGCAAGTATAAATGTTAACATAACACTGTTAAATCAAATCTCAATGCAAGAGAACCAATTGCATCTCTACTTTAAATCTTATCAACTTTCCAAATTTTCATACTAAAATATATTATTGTATTAATACAAACTACAGTATTATACACTACACTGTGTAATAAATAAAGAAATATAAAAATAAGACACATAAATATAAAAGTTTTCTAAAACTAAAAAGGTACATATGTCAGTAAGAAGGGTATTAATACTGCCAGGTTGAAGACATACAGTACAAAATGTTGCACAGATCTATAAACTAAAAGAAATAAAATAATACTGATAGGTAAAAATCAGCTAACATTGTTAATAAATGGGGTCCATAATAACTAACATTTGAAAATACTTATGAGCCAGATAACATGTCATGTATGTGTCTGAAATTAAAGTAAACCAATAAAGCAATAAAGCAGATTAGAAAATTTCCCTTGTAATTATTGTAGAGAAATTCTGCAAGTCAGGTATTAACCCAAAATACCACCAAATAATTAAATAATGAAATACACCAGTGTTCTTACTTCTCTGATGGCTGAGTGTTTTTTTCCCCATGATTAGTTTAGAAGTTTGATACAAATCAACAAATGCTAGTTATTGTAGGCCACGCGTTGGATAAAGGCTGCTCAGAGCCTTTGTAATACTGATAAATGGCACTTACAGCACACAGGTCTTGCATAAGGCCAAAGGAGATACAAAACTTCATATCATATCCTTCATATTGTTACTACATACTCAAAACACAATTACAAACACTGATTTTGACGACTTTGCTGTCCTTACCAGTATTAACACTGTTAGTCCCTGCAATCAGAACTCAACGACAATCTTTTCAACTACATTTTTAATCACATGAGTAAGAAACTTCAGTCCTTCTATCATCTGCTTTCTTAAGGCTAACAATACACTTTAAATGATAATATGCTCTACTACAACATCTAATGTCATAAACCGCTACCTTCTAGGTTGAATTTACAAAGGTAGCCAAGCGCTGTTTGCAACTGCGTTACAGGTTTCTGCAAAAGGGAATTTTGTAGTGCAGAAGTTCTCACATTTTAAAACATAAGAAAATACTGAAGCGGATTTAGGAAAAGTTTTACCATAAAAAAAAAATTCATATAAATCTCTCCCAATTGTACAGCTTAAAAATTAATCAACTTAAGAATGAAAATTAATACTGATAAAACAAACAATGCCAGATGCTTGTCTAATAAATCAGGTTTCCTACAAGCTGTTAAATCTTTGCTTCCAGAGTCACTGTATTTTTCTAATCTGCTTCATGTTATAAACTTGTTCCTAACTTTGAAAACTGTGTGAAAAATTACTAAGTTTGAGGTTCAGGCACACCTGGATTTCTTTTTTTTTTCTTTTTCTTTTTTTTTATATATATATTTTTTTACACAGTAGTGAACAGAAATCACAGTATGCAGGCTACTGCGTTTCCATGAAAAGCATGTATAATATAGAACGAACTCCATTACCAATTTTTTTTTCCTTATAGAAAAAACTATCATTTAAGCTTTATTTGTTTTTTCTTCCGACACCTGCCCATTATTCTGTATTACTTCTGGTTCTGCATTGCTTTCTTGATTTACAACTTCATCATTCTTGTTACCTTCAGTTTTCCCTTCTTCTTCTTCTTCTTCTTCATCCTCTACATCTTGTAGTTTTCTACATTCTTTTTCTTCCTGAAGTCCTTCTACCTCTTTTTCTTCCTCCTCTTCTTCCTCTTTTTCACTGTCTTCCTCTTCTTCCCTGGTTAGACTCTCTCTCTCATCCGAGTCGATCTGTGATGGAGATGCCCTGGCACCAGCATGCTCGTTACTGAGGACCTCCTGCCCTGTCTCCTCCTGTTCTGTGCTGTCACGCTCTTCTGCCTCTCTCTTGCAATAGGAGTAGCGATGATTCATGTGTTGAGAGTAAGACCCCGAGTGTGAAAACCGCTTTCCACATTTGTCACATTGGTAGGGTTTTTCCCCAGAATGCAGTCGCATGTGTTCAATCAAATGGTGTTTGTGTTTAAATGCTTTTTTACAGATTCCACACTCATGAGGTCTTTTACCTACAAAGTAAAGCACAAACAATTGGACATCTTGTAGCTGAAGTAAAAGGTATACTGTTGTTTAAAAAACGCTGTGGGTGAACTTATTGCCAACAACTAATGATTTTATTTAACAAGATGTTCTCCTCCATGCATTCTCAGCCCGGGTTTCTCACCTGAGCCCAAAGCACAAGGGTGCAAGGTACATTGTCGCAATTAGAAGAGTAATTTGTTAAGCTTTTTAGGAAAACTGAACACAGAAGGATAATGAGGTTCTCGGATGTAACCTTTAGCACATAAAAGTGTGTATGTATGTGTACATTAGACATATGTACATATGTCTAATATGTAAATTGGACAGGAGACATTTTTCTTGCAGAAAACATTATTTCGACTCAAAACCATTTTAACTTTTGTGTATTGATGGAAATTTTAAATTAGCTAGGCTTTTATGTTGGTTTTTGTGTACCAAGTCCTTCTTCCATGCTGTAGGTAAAAGGAAAATCATTCTAAAATCTATGTTGGCGCAGGTATGTGCAAAACTTGCTGACTCCACATATATTAACTAGAAAAATCTTTGTTTCAGTTAGTTCGCTATCTGCTCTCTTGTCCAGCTTTCTACTTTGTTGCCTTGCTTTTAGAGTCCCTTAAAAACATAGCATCGGCCTAGTGATGATACATTGATTTCAACACTCAAAGTTGTTAAGCAAAACACAGTGGTGGTGTTAAGCGAAACATGCTGGTGTTGGTCTCTTCTCCCCTGTAACAAGTGATAGGACGAAAGGAAATGGCCTCAAGCTGCGCCAGGGGAGGTTTAGATTGGACATTAGGAAAAAATTGTTTCACCAAAAGGGTTGTCAAGCATTGGAAGGGGCTGTCCAGGGAAGCGGTTGAGTGCCCATCCCTGGAGGTACTTTAAAGATGGGTAGACGAGGTGCTTAGGGCCATGGTTTAGTGGTGGACTTGGCAGTGTTAGGTTAACGGTTGGACTTGATGATCTTAAAGGTCTTTTCCAACCTAAATGATTCTGTGACTCTGAACACTGCACTGAATTTAAAAGTAGAATGGAAAGAAGAATTGTGTTATGAAAAGGAGGAGTTAAAAGGGTCTCAGGACAGGGAAGGTATGAAAATAGATAATCTTCACAAATACAACTTGAGAATCGTGATCAAGTGATAGAGACAAAAGGGAATTTTTTATCTTTTTAATTCTAGATGTGAGATGAAATAAAAACATTAATATGCAGAAATAAAATATAGGCATCTAACCAATTTTTTTTTTAAGACATCACAGGAGAAATAAAAGAGCAACAGTTATTAAAAAAAAGACTAAAGATACCAGAGCTGGAGCTAAAAGGAACAACTATGAGAAATTAAAAATAAAAATCAAAGCCAAAAGGATGTTCTTTTGGGGTTAAATCCCATGTCTAATGAATGGCTGTTAACTTCAGGTAATTATAAATGTGTCTCAGTTTGAAAATCCTTCATGTTAGATAAATACACTGCCTTTCATGTAAAGTGTCATACACACACAATCCTTCTTTTCTTAATTTTTAATTTTAATTTTTGATTTTTACTAATTTATAACCAGGCAAGGTAAATTAGAAGTAATACATCCTTGATTACAGGCTGTGGCTCACAGACGATTGTCCATGAGCCAGATGGAAGAAACCCTCCCTTTTTCTATTCAGGGTTTAGGTCTTACAAATTTAAAGAAACATAGAATTGAAGTTCTGTCCAACAAATATACAAAACGTAGGTTTCTAAAGAGAGCTGAGCACAGATGACAAGAAGGACCATTAGACTTCCCTACTCTTTCTGAGAACTGGATTCCAACTGAGGTTATCAGTTACACACCACTGTGGCGGTGTGCTCCCCCCTCGTCTCTGACTCCTCCTCCTTTGACCTCTTTCAAGTGATAACCACCTGTGGCTGTGGTGATAGATGCATCTGGTCTGTGTCTGGTCCTGAAGGATGCACCCACTGGGTGTGGGGGGAGACAGATAACAATGCAATAGCCAAGGGCTATTGTGGAATGTGCCCACCTAAGCACAGTCGTCAGTATGCAAATATGACTATGAGCCAATTATCTTACCCCCATCAATAGTGAGCAGCCCAAGAGCCCTTTGAGCTCTCCTGCACGGCAGCGGGCGGCACGCCAGGATCTCCCCTTGAGCAGGGACGCCTCTCAAGGTTACTCCTCGAGGTTGAGAGATTCCTTATCACGACAGATTCTCGGTAAGTGACTAACAGCATGCTACCTTGGAAATCTTAGCTAAGTGACATAAAGGATTAATTGCACATATATATAATCCTTTAGGCATAAACCGTTGACCAAGTCTGGGACTAGGATTGGATCCAGCCACACCTAGACTCTTCTCTGAGGGAGTTTAGAAAGCAAGGGGATCTTTTCTGAACCTCATGACTCAACGAGAGGGTTTCCCTGACAGTCTTGTCTGACCCTGTCCTCTGTGCAGTAAAATAACAAAGTGTACCTTGCCATCGAATCTCAAACTATTGTCGCAGTTACCACTGAACTTTGTTAACTCACTGTTTTACACCAATAAACCACATTATTTTTGCCTCCCTCTCACTCCATCCGCGACAACCACCAATGAAATAATGAGCTGAAACTGCTTTTTCTAGTACGTACCTGTGTGTTCATACTTATGTCTCAATAATGAGCTGCTCTTCTGGAATATTTTGTCGCATAAATCACATGCGTACATCCCATTTTCTGTCTTTCTCATCTTTTTCTTTGGGGGCGTTGAATCAGAATCATTTTGATCTTCTACATTTGATACTCCTTCTGAGCTAGTGTCTTGCCTTTCATCCTTAAGAAAAATTACGAAAAAAGTTAAGTTCAATAAAAATGCACTGATGCAGCACACAATTTATAAAATGTAAGCTGAAGCTGTACTGTTGTTTTCATTCAATTCCATAAACAGCCAAACAAAATTGTTTAGACTTACAGAGTCAAAATAATCTTCCACTGCATCGCTCTGCTTTGCAGTCCCTGCCACCATAGAGATGCAGAATTCTCACTGGGACAGACTTTAATCACATCCAGATTTGCCTGTTGGCCAGGTCTAAGCAACATTGACACATCACGTTTTAGGGTCCGTAAAATAAATGCAATGTTAGGAAGGAAAAGACGACCTATAAAGTACCTCAGTAAGTTGGAAGAGCAAATTCAATATCGAACTGAATTTTTCAGCTAATGTTTGTCACCCACATTTTGCTACCTTGTGGATTTTATGGAAGTTAAGACTGTAGTTTTTGAAGTTTTCACAAAAAGCTATTTAAGATATTATTTGAATTTGCATATTGACTACCCTCTTCCTCATAAAACTGCCACAAATCCTACTTAACCCCAAATGGGGGGGATTTCAAATGTTTAAGTAAGGTTTTTTAAAAATCGTAACTGTAGTCTATGTATTGCAAGTGAAGCTCATCTCTAAGAAGCACAGTATTTTCTACTGACACCAGCAATATCACTACGCACAGAATTAATTTTATCATCTATTATCAAATCTGAATATAAAAATGTATGTATAAGCTACCTCAAATGTCACCTGTCTCATAAACTTCAACATAGAAGCAACCTTGTAACTCTTCAAGGCTCCTCAGTCTCTGGCTGTAGAGAAGCTTGCCTAAAATGCTGAAATGCCAAATTTCTAAGATTTAATTAGAATCACTCAGTCTTTACACAAGCTACTTGTCTGCTCTGTCCCTACCTCAACATGCACAGGTGTTTCTCAGCAGGACTGACTCCAATTAGATCACATCTGGATATACCCAGCAGGGCAGGATACAGGAATGGCAGATGAAGATAAATAAATACCTGCCTGAATTTCAGTTGAGAATATATCTGAATTTTGTTTAAAGTGCCACTATGGTGTAGGATGAATTCAGCTACTCTGCAAGCCAAGAAAGCTGAGCAGAGTGAAGGGAGTAGCCAGAAGTTCCAAATAGTTTATTTTCTGGATGTGGGAAAAGAGGAGGTATGGAGCCAGCAAGAAACACAAGCCATGGCCTTACTTTTCTTTTTGATCAGGAGAATTAAACTGTCTTTAAAATACTGAGCACTAATGTCCTGGAAGACAATTCTGAATGACCGAACATAGCAAAGAACTGACTCGTTCACGCACAGAACTATATAGTCTCTGTCAGTCTGAACTGAAGCTGCCTGAGCTAGCCAGCTTTGCAGAGGACTTAGCAGTAACATCTATTACCCATTACCAATTAAGCTGAATAAACCTGACAGCTTATATTTTCATTTTATTTAATCTACCCTGACAGCTTTCTGTTAGTTCAGCATGGATACAGAATGACTACGTCATATACAACACACAGGAATACAGGGACCCAAGTACCTGATTTCCGTTGGCTTGGGTGTGTTTTGGTGGTGTTTCTTGAACTGCAGGACTAACTGTAGTAGAGTATGTGTAAGCCACCTGTGGAATCAAAATGGTCTGCTTATTGGCAGCGAGAGCTCTCAAGCATGGAACACTGTTCTGGTCAGCAATGGCAACAATTGTAGGTAACTGGGCAGTGACTGTAGGTATAGCAATATTTATGGGATTGGCACTTGGTGGGATTACATTTACAATAGGATCAGAGTCTGTAATACTGTTGTCCTTTTGTGGTTCTTTTTTTGCACAAGTTAAGTTCAAAGGTTCTTCTTGGACAGAATAAACACTGTTCTGGTAAACACTAGTTACGGTAGATCTTTCCAATACTTCTCCATGTTGCTTTGGTAGCGAAAGGTCAAGAGGTTCGACTTGTGGCTCTTCTTGTACACCCTCTGCTGTGTACGTATAACCCTGTGAATTTCTTGATGAAGAAAGGTTTAGTGGCGATGGGGATGGCGTGCTACTGCGTGAACCATTCAGAGCTGATCCTTCTGGTAAAGTCTGAGATTTTGTTGGATTGACAGGATTTTGTGAATTATTTGTGCTGTTCTGGGGTTCACACACATTTGTAGTTGCTGCTTGATCATCATTATCTGTGGGACTACTTAATTTAACCTGTTCAGGAGAAGATGGTCCAGACGACTGCACAGAAATTTGTCCAGCTTGCATTTTTTCAAACCACTTTTTTACCACATCCAGTGGTAGGTTTACTGAATCAGCTATTTTTGAAAGCTCTTCTGCGCTTGGTTGTGCATTTAATGCATAATACGCTTTTAGGAGCGATAAAAGGTTCTTTAAAGGTGGCTGACCAGGAGATAAGTTGTTCTCCCCAGTTTCTGATGGGACAGGGGAGTCGGGCTTCTCAGCTTCTGTTCCACTGGGCTGAGGAAGCTGAGGAGGATTTTTCGTTTCATAGTGCTTTAATTCTTGAAGTGCATTAAGATCTCCTGGACAGTCATCACAAAGAAGACAAGTGCTATCATTGGTCTCTCCTTCAAAGTTCTTATCTTTCTCAGACTTCACCGTAAGATCTTCCGGTAATTTTTCATTTTTGCAACTATTTGTAGGAACAGAGTTTTCTTTTTTTAGATTTTGTGGAACAACCTGAAGTTGACTTGGCTGCTCCAAGCTGTAGTTGATGATAATTTTGGTTGTCCCATCTTGGTCAACCAAAGGAAGACTGATAGCTGAAATGAGGGAATGGCCAGCTTGTGGTATAGATGCATTGCTGATTGTTTCTTGTTCTTTGGATGCAAGATTAGCATGATTGTTTTCCAATACTTGCCTTATTACATTACCATCCACTGCCACTTTAAGTACATTTTGAATGTCACTTAAGTTGATGCTTATGGGAGACACCAGACCTACTGTTGGTAGAACAACAGCTTGCACCACACCCTGAGGAGAACTGGTTGCCTGCAATGGGCTACCACCACTAAAAACCCCATTCTGCAAAGGGGTCGAACAATTAATTCCTGAAGCAACCACTATGGGCTTGAATTCATAATCCACAGGTTCAGTTTTAATTTGGTTAACAGGAAGTTGCTCTTGCAAGGGTTTATTTTCTATCTTTTGTCGTATCTGTGGTCTTGCTGGGCTACCTGGTGATGCAGAAAGGGAAGGGGAGGAGCACTGAGACGTCTTGAGCCCTGACCGGGCTCGACCATTCACGGGCATCAAACCAATACACTTCTTACTGCTTATGTGTGAACTGTATGAACCAGAATGGGAAAAACGTTTCTTGCAGTTTGGGCACTCATATGGCTTCTCTCCTAAAGACACAAAAAAAAAAAAAAAAAAAAAAAAAAAAGAAGAAAAAAGGCATATGCAAGAGTTTACTAGGTTACAGTGTAACTTCATCAGCAACAGTAACTAGAAAAGAATACAGCAAAATGACCTCTCAAAGAGTCCTAGGGAAAAAAAAATCTTACACAGTGAATCGAACAGCAAGAGTAGTTATATTATCTATAGCTCCGATCCTACGGTTCTTTAGTAGTTTGTGATCCACTAGTAGATATAGGATGGAGCCCACGTGGTCATGATATGTTCCAATATTTCCCAGTAACTGTCTACATATGACATAAATGAGTCCATATGATACTTGCAGATTTCATTAAACTCCATTCAAGTAGTACCACTACTAACTTCAGAAGCTGCACAAACTACTTCAGAATGGAAAAAAATTAGAATATGATTAACCAAAGAAAAAATACAAAAGCCATAAATGCAGTCATAGTTATATAAGGAGCTATGCACATTTTATTGTGGCAAACTCCAATACTCATCAGCTAAATAAAAACAGGCAAGGTTTCAGTAAAGGGAAACAAGACACGTGCAGAAGACAGATGTATGTTTGCCTTTGGAGATGAACGTCAGGTTAAATTGCCAGGAAGATGCACACAACTATGCAATCGTCACACCCATGGCCAGAGTTGGCTTTTCAGGGGATCTGTGCTACCAAAGAAAAGAGAAGAGCTGAAATCGCTGGCTTGCTTAGATTGAAAATGACATTGACTGAGGCCTTCTCACTCACAGGCACAGTGCCACTACCCTCTGGAAATAAAATTATGTTTGCTGAGGGCAGACTTCTAAGTGAGGTGCTCTTAATTGCTGTTATCACCGCTGCGCAACTGGTAAGAAAGGAAAAGATGGACTAAACCCTTGTTTTCAGACTTTCTGTCAATGGGTAAATTTGAGTTAAAGAGAGAAATTGAGAATCTCTTTTGAGTGACCACATTTTACTATATATTAATATATAATATTATATATTACATTTCTTATAAATTGGAACTTTTGTGACAGTATATCACAATTCCAGACCTGTGTCCTGAGGCTATTTTAATATTTTAATATGATATTTTAATAAAATCAGAGCCACAGACAGTAGGAAGCATAGTTGTTATGTCCCAATTATTATTAATTAAGATTTTCTAGCAAGGCTCCTAACATGCTGAGTGGTCTGCGAACACTGAGAAAAAATAAGCAAGTGAAAAAGGCCGAAAAGGATGCCCCATTTCTTCTGCCACAAGTGAAGTTTTCCTTAACTGTCAGAGCTTAAGCTGCAACTGCAAATCCTCTTGAGTTACCCCGTGTATCTCCTGCACAGAGCTGAAGGCTGCAGTCAGTGCTTACGGAGTCCCAGAGGAAGAAAAAGGAAAACACTAGTATTTTGTACTTAGACTTACAAGACTGATATCGCATCAAAGTTATAAACAGTGGAAATGGCAACATTAGTACATAATTCAAGGCTTGATTTATTTACCACTGTGGATTCGTAGGTGCTCCTTTAGGTGATGCTTATATTTAAAAGCTTTTCCACATTCAGTGCACTTGAATTTTCGATTGCCACTGGACTGCGTCACATGTCTCTGTAAGAAAGAATTTGTAATTATGGCATAGGACAGCACGTTGGAAAAACATCTTGTATTTTCACATTGTGACACAGAAAATGAAGTACCAAACTGGAAAGAATCAATCATAATTTTAAGAGACTGAAGGTGGTATGTGTTATGCATGAAAAAGAAACAAATTAGAAGTCAGGTTAAGACTGAGCTATGTGTATCTTCTGAAAAAATCTGTTACAGTAAAAAGAAAAAAAAAAACAGACCCAAAATATATTTGCCCCTTCTCCTGACTTCAGACGAAGCTTGCACCAACATGTTATGTGAGTAAGAAGTTCCAGGATGCATGCTAATTCTACTTGTGAAAGCAAAAAAACCAAGAAAAACCCCGAGCCCACCACCCACAGAGTATGTCACGCAGGATAGAGAAACATTAAAGCATATAAAAGCCTGTTTAAAGTTTAATCAGTTGACTTGATTTTTCCATTTACATGCTTCCAGCGCTTACTGTTGGCCTTCAATTCCTCTATGTAATGATGCCACAGGATTGCTCAAGAGAAGATGGCTCAGTGACAACAAAGGCACTCTCAGTCACAATTAATTCCCAAAATAAATGCAAAAAACTAAATTAAAAAAAATAACAATATTCAGGGATTTCCCAAATACACAACATCAAACCTCTTCACTATCTGCGTTGAAGCTCTGTGGCTATTTTTGTTATATTTTGCCTTCTAAGAGCATGTATTGTTAAACTCCAAATTATTTTTAATTTCTCTTTATTGTTATACTAGTTTAAAAAACTAAGTGCTAAGAAAGACATGAAATATATGTAGTATGTACGTGATATGTATAAGCAAGATACATAGTTTTGTTACTAACTGTGTAAATCTATGAATGTCTATCTTTAAAGACAAAAATTACATACATTTTAGAACTTGAAGCAGCCTAATTACCAAAATTAAATGGAGGAATTAGAATTTTTTTCTGTTCAAATTGTTTATTTAAAAAAAACCAGCAGCTCCTTTTTAAGTAGAGCTCACTTTGCAAAAAGATACTCATTTGGCTGCAGCTGCAGATTTTTGGTGACCGGGGCAAGTATTTTCATAAACTCATTCATGTACTCTGGGGAAACAGCCTGCCTTCGGGCAGGTACCACGACTTGGCTGGAGTGCATTAACGTCCTCTGGTGTGAAACCGTGGTGGGGAGCTCCTACACCTAATTCTGGTCTACTGCGGTGGCAGCGCTGGGAGCAGACGCTCACCGAGGGCTCAGGCTGTTCCCCGAGTGCAGACATGGCAGCTGGGGGCCCAGACCTGCGCTGGAGAAGCGGGGATGAAGAAAAAGGCAGGATGATATTCCTGTTCTGATTTATGCCTTTAGATCTGAAGAACCCGCAGCTGCGCAGTGTACTGGATGGAAGTCTGAGTGCTCTGCTATGAGATATGCTGTCCAAATTATCAACCCTCCCTGTTCTACACCCTCTCCTCCTTTATACGATACAGATGCTAACAGAAGAGAAATTGAAACAAGATAATCTAAAATTGCTTCCAAGTACTCTAATTTGACAGTTCCCTTGGGATAAGCATTTGGTTAAGCTGCAGTTTTCACCTCTCAGCAGATACTGCTGGCACCCTCCTCCGATGGGGCTCCTCCTCACCTCCTCCCAGGCCCTGCAGTGAGGTCTCTGCTCTGACTTATCCCGATTAGGGTTTGACCCTTATTCCTGGGTTTGTCAGCTGCCTTTCACCAGTCCACACGGCTTTTCAGCTTTGTTTAACTAAGTCCCTTGAAGATGATGTTCCAGATGATTGTGCCTGACTCGCTGCATTTCACTTTAACGATCCAACTCCACTGAGTCTAGAGGACCATGTCAGGATTTACTTAAGCCTGCAGAGAATCAGTTACTACTGTTTGACTTGAGATTATACAAGCTAAAGGATCTCAGCATATATACAGCTACTGCAGATGCTGGACTACATAAATATTCGTACTAAATATTAGCGCATGTATTCAATCTGTCAGAAATGTTCTGCTTCCAATGCATGGAAGCCCACATTTCTCTTACTGAATTTTTAGTGAGTTTTCCTGTTTTCCTGGTCATAGCTATAAGCTGCCTTGAACTTTCTGCAAGGCAGTGTTTCCATCTGTTTTGCCTTATCTCCTTATATTTGTAGTTCTTTATTCAGCTTTCTTACTCTCTCCTATACTTTTTTTTCCCCCTCCTGCCAAACCCAGGACATCCTCAGGGTTACTCTCCAGGACCTTCTTTAAAACTAACTCAGAAATCATGACTCTTCTCTGAAGTACCATCTTCGATACTTTCACCTTCATTTCCTCAAATTCAGATGGGTTTCCCCCTTTCAGTAGTTAAAGCCTCATTTTTTTGTGCCTCTGATATGTGATACATTTTTTACTGCGCTGTATATAACTGCTGTTTTCTGCTCACTAAAGAATTAACTGCAGCATTCGGAGAATACTCCTCTGCATTCCTTTAAGGACTGAAAGAAGAAACATCAGCATTAAGGTCTGTAACTAGCCACTAATACATCCCTGCATCAAATATTTGCTGTGCTTAGAACTATCGTCCACTCTTTTAGTACCAGAGAACTGAAACTAATTAATGGGAATCCTCAAAAGTGATTTGGAGAACAGGGATTACATGTACATCAGTGTTTTTTCACAGCCAGTTTGACCACGGTCTTCAAGAACTGCTGTTTTTCAGTGGTGTCCACAGCAATATGAAATTTTAAGACTAGCTACAGATGCTTTGTAGATTGTTGAGAAGAAAAATAAAACAACTATAAGAAGCACTTACTCGTACTTCACCATCTTTTTTGGTGCTTCACACGTGAAAGCAGATGATACACATGCAGCATCACCTCCTACCACCTGTTAAGCCGTGGAGGAGCAGCCAGGGGAGCCATGAGGGACACTGGGGATGGGGCGGAGGGAGGGATGAAGGAGAAGGTGCAGGATGGCGCTCAGCTCTCTGCTCTCCGCTGGAGCAGAAGTAGCCGCAGTTTGGCATATTGTCCCCTTCCTCAGAGGGAGGCACGGCCTGCACACACCTCTTCCGCTGCCCTCGCTACACTAGAAATTATCTTTGCTCATTGCTTCCTTGTACAGAACAATTACGAAATTGTCACATGCTGGACATTAACCAGCTAACAAACTTCTCCAAATAATCTACTTCCAGGTGAAGTCCTTTAAGAATAAAAAACTCTAAAGTTGCTGGGGGAGGGGGACCTCAATCCATCCCACTCCTACCAGTTTGATGCCAGTGCCAACAATAGACGCCCAGAGCCTGGAGATGAACCACAGGTCAGCAGGACAGCACCAAGAGTTACTACTGTTTGACTTGAGATTATACAAGTTAAAGGATCTCAGCATATATACAGCTACTGCAGATACTGGACTACATAAATATTCGTACTAAATATTAGCGCATGTATTCAATCTGTCAGAAATGTTCTGCTTCCAATGCATGGAAGCCCACATTTCTCTTACTGAATTTTTAGTGAGTTTTCCTGTTTTCCTGGTCATAGCTATAAGCTGCCTTGAACTTTCTGCAAGGCAGTGTTTCCATCTGTTTTGCCTTATCTCCTTATATTTGTAGTTCTTTATTCAGCTTTCTTACTCTCTCCTATACTTTTTTTTCCCCCTCCTGCCAAACCCAGGACATCCTCAGGGTTACTCTCCAGGACCTTCTTTAAAACTAACTCAGAAATCATGACTCTTCTCTGAAGTACCATCTTCGATACTTTCACCTTCATTTCCTCAAATTCAGATGGGTTTCCCCCTTTCAGTAGTTAAAGCCTCATTTTTTTGTGCCTCTGATATGTGATACATTTTTTACTGCGCTGTACATAACTGCTGTTTTCTGCTCACTAAAGAATTAACTGCAGCATTCGGAGAATACTCCTCTGCATTCCTTTAAGGACTGAAAGAAGAAACATCAGCATTAAGGTCTGTAACTAGCCACTAATACATCCCTGCATCAAATATTTGCTGTGCTTAGAACTATCGTCCACTCTTTTAGTACCAGAGAACTGAAACTAATTAATGGGAATCCTCAAAAGTTATTTGGAGAACAGGGATTACATGTACATCAGTGTTTTTTCACAGCCAGTTTGACCACGGTCTTCAAGAACTGCTGTTTTTCAGTGGTGTCCACAGCAATATGAAATTTTAAGACTAGCTACAGATGCTTTGTAGATTGCTGAGAAGAAAAATAAAACAACTATAAGAAGCACTTACTCGTACTTCCCCATCTTTTTTGGTGTCTCATACTCGTACTTCACCATCTTTTTTGGTGCTTCACACGTGAAAGCAGATGATACACATGCAGCATCACCTCCTACCACCTGTTAAGCCGTGGAGGAGCAGCCAGGGGAGCCATGAGGGACACTGGGGATGGGGCGGAGGGAGGGATGAAGGAGAAGGTGCAGGATGGCGCTCAGCTCTCTGCTCTCCGCTGGAGCAGAAGTAGCCGCAGTTTGGCATATTGTCCCCTTCCTCAGAGGGAGGCACGGCCTGCACACACCTCTTCCGCTGCCCTCGCTACACTAGAAATTATCTTTGCTCATTGCTTCCTTGTACAGAACAATTACGAAATTGTCACATGCTGGACATTAACCAGCTAACAAACTTCTCCAAATAATCTACTTCCAGGTGAAGTCCTTTAAGAATAAAAAACTCTAAAGTTGCTGGGGGAGGGGGACCTCAATCCATCCCACTCCTACCAGTTTGATGCCAGTGCCAACAATAGACGCCCAGAGCCTGGAGATGAACCACAGGTCAGCAGGACAGCACCAAGGAATTCCAGCCACTCCAGCCAGTAAATCAGCTTCACTGGGGCCCAATTTAATGCCTCTATGCAAATGCATGTAGCATGGGGAAAACCAAGAGGAGTTAGATACATGCACAACCCTGCAGGGCTATGAATGGTCTTATTGGCATCACATAGACATGGTGGGATGGCTCCTACGACTGGAGTGTTGGAATGGAAGGATACAGGCTCTTTAGG